AAAAAAAAATAATACAGTTTTTCATAGTACGTCCATTTGTAAATATCACCATAATTTTTCTGTAACTACACTTTATAACTTGAATCATGCACTTGCTGCTATTGCACTACTTTAGACCTAAACTACATTTCGTTGCCTTGTACATGTGTAATGACAATAAAGTTGAATCTAATCTAATCTAAAATTGAGTTCAAGGCTGAGAAATAGCTTCTGGTTTTTGGATATTTGAGGTGAAGGTTTTTTTTGTTTGTTTGTTTGTTTGAGGAAGATGTATAACAATAGGGATTCTGTTCATATTCTGGCAAGCACATTATCATCAAAATATTGATTAAATAGAAGATGTTTTTTGTAAGTTCTGGTTTCTCCAAATCAAAACTGACAAGCAAAATCAAAAGGTGTATACAGATTTTTTTTTTTTTTATGCATTTGCAGGATTAAACCATCAGCGCTGTACAATTCTAGACTACTCCCAACATCTCTGTCTAACAAAACATTTTGTGATTCAAAGGCTGTTTATTGTAGTCTGAATCAGAGAAACACTCTGCATATGTGACAGATTCATTGGCACATACATTAACAAAACAAAAAAACTGACATTCACACTTTTATATCGTACATCTCAAATTCTTAATAAATCTTAAAAAGTATTTGATTGTTTTGACAAATTAATGTTTAAAAAAAAACACCTCTAAACATTGTAAAAGAAAGACCTCATAATTACTTTGGGACATTATAATTTTGTACTAACACAATGTAACTCCAAGTGTTACCTTTATTTTTTAAACAGTATATATTTGTATGTATTGTATTGTATATGGGGCATTGCAGTGGCGCAGTAGGTAGTGCTGTCGCCTTACAGCGAGAAGGTTGCTGGTTCGAGCCTCAGCTGGGTCAGTTGGCATATCTGTGTGGAGTGTGCATGTGCTCTGGTTTCCAGGTGAATTAGGTAGGCTAAAATTGTCTGTAGTGTATGTGTGTGAATGAGTGTGTATGGTGTTTCCCAAGGATTAGTTTCAGCTGGAAGGGCAACTGCTGCGTAAAACATTTGCTGGATAAGTTGGCGGTTCATTCTACTGTGGGGACCCCAGATTAATAAAGAGATTAAGCCGAAAAAAAATGAACAAATTAATGAATTGTATATATTTGTAATGGGGTGACATGGGGGTGCAGTGGGTAGCACTGTCGCCTTACAGCAAGAAGGTCGCTGGTTTGAGCCCCAACTAGGTCAGTTGGCATTTCTGCGTGGATGTTCTCTCCGTGTTTGCGTGGGTTTCCTCCAGGTTCTCCGGTTTCCCCCAGAGTTCAAAGACATGCGCTTTAGGTGAGTTGAATAAGCTAAATTGGCTGTAGTGTGTATGCGCATGTGAGAGTGTATGGATGTTTCCCACTACTGGGTTGTGGCTGGAAGGGCATCCGCTGCATAATAGCACATGCTGGATAAGTTGGTGGTTCATTCCTCTGTGGTGACCCCTAATTAATGAAGGGACTAAGCTGAAAAGAAAATGAATGAATGAATGAATGATATTTGTAATGTGTATATTTATATACATTATCAATAACAGAAAGGAGTTTGTGTATCTGTGTTTGTGTGGGGGTGTGTGGTACGTGTGTGTATTGGAAGTTGCATTCAAAATCCTTTGTGCCTCTGGCTACAGTCATCTTTGAATGTATTTATAATAAATATGATATGATACATACATCTATCACTGTGTTTTATAAATGACTCAAACTCTATTTGCACTTTAGGCAAAATAGTATCTCCACAATACTTGCCACTGTCACTGAAAAAATGACATGACACCTAAAGCCACAATGTGGTTTTCCTGATATTCAACAAGCCACCTATAAAGGAAAACTTTGTCCATATAAAAAGTTTTTATTAGCAACAGTTTTACATTTTCTGTGTGCCACATTCCGTTGCCAAACAGGTCTGATAGGCAGCATTCAGAAGAGTGCTCTGTTTTAGTCTTGTCATTCACTCAGTTCAAGTCCACACCAGCATGCATTTTAACCGTTGATATCATTGAGCTCAAGCTTATTCAAAACACCACAATTGACTTTGCCCTCACTGTCACCATTCAGACATTGTAATATTTCTGTTGTGGAAAGAGATAAGCAGGAGATTAGCGTTTCTGTAAACTTTTCGCTGATTGAATATGCTCTCAAGAAATAACATTATATACACTTTTAATAACAGCAGGTTCAGTACGTTCATAACATCATTTACAATTCTTTACAGAATCTGAAAGATGTTTACTTTAGAAGTTGTACTTTATACACAGTGCTCAGCATAATTGAATATTTTTAATATATTAATTGTCAATTTCTGAATGAAAATAGGCAAAGTATGTTGGTGCATTTACAGTGCATCCAGAAAGTATTCATAGCACTTCACCTTTTCCACAAGTTTTTACAGCCTTATTCCAAAATGGATTCAATTAATTTATTTCCTCAAAGTTCTACGCACAATACCCCATATTGAAAATGTGAAAAAAGATTTTTTGAAATTGTTGCAAATTTATTAAAAATAAAAAAACTGAAAAATTACATGTTGATGCACTTTGTTGATGCACCTTTGGCAGCAATTACAGCCTCAAGACACCTGGCTTTAGGAATTTTTGCCCTTTCTTCTTTGCATTACATCTCAAGCTCAATCAGGTTGGATGGGAAGCGACGATGTACAGCCATTTTCAGATCTCTCCAGAGATATTCAATAGGATTTAGGTCTGGGCTCTGGCTGGGCCACTCAAGGACATTCACCGAGGTGTTGTGAAGCCACTCCATTGATATTTTGGTAGTGTGCTTTTAGTCATTGTCCTGATGAAAGACGTACCATCACCCCTGTCTGAGGTCAAGAGCACTCTGAAGCAGGTTTTCATTCAGGATGTTTCTGTACATTGCTGGGGTCATCTTTCCCTCTATCCTGACTAGTCTTCCAGTTCCTGCTGCTGAAAAACATCCCCACAGCAAGATGCAAACACCACCATGCTTCACTGTAGAGATGGTATTAGCCTGGTGATGAGCGGTGCCTGGTTTACTCCAAACGCAATGCCTGGCATTCACTCCAAGGAGTTCAGTTTTAGTCTAATCAGACAAGATAATTTAGTTTCTTATGGTCTGAGAGTCCTTCAGATTCCTTTTGGCACTCTACCATACAGGCCTGATTGGTGGATTGCACAGATGGTTGTCGTTCTGTAAGGGGGGGGGGGTTATTTTGGTTTGTGCCTTAACATGCACTGTCAACCCTGGGACCCTATATATACAGGTGTATGTCTTTTCAAATTATGTCCAATCAACCAACCAATTAAGCTGCTGAAACATCTCAAGAATGATCAGTGGAAACAGAATGTACCTGAGCTCAATTTAGAGCTTCTCGGCAAAGGCTGTGAATACTTATATAAATGTGATTTTTCAGGGTTTTTTTTAGTTTTAACAAAATTTGCAATAATTTCATCAATTCTTTTTTCAGATTAAAACCAATGATAAAATGTTTTTCTTTTAGAACGTTCTGAAATTCGCTTTTCAATTTAGATGGCTCATATTTATTTATTTTATTATTATTACAATAATGTTTCTCTAATATTGCAATCCCATACTGACTCATTAATATTCAGTTCTGGAGTCTGTGGAGGCCATTTCATGACTTTTTTCATTGACTTTTCATAATTTCAGTATTTGCTCAGATGATTTTGTCTCCAATATTTATTCATCTTCTTTTCGGCTTAGTCCCTTTATTAATCAGGGGTCACCACAGCGGAATGAACCACCAACTTATCCAGCATATGTTTTAAACAGCAGATGCCCTTCCGGCTGCCACCCAACACTGGGAAACACTCTTGCATTCACACATATACACTACGGCCAAATTAGTTTATTCAATTCACCAATAGCGCATGTGTTTAGACTGTGGGGAAACCAGAGCACTCGGAGGAAACACATGCGAACATTGGAGAACGTGCAAACTCCACACAGAAATGCCACATGACCCAGCCGGGGCTTGAACCAGCAACCTTCTTTCTGTGAGACAATTTTGCTACCCTCTTAGCCACCATGTTGCCCATAATCCCATAGTGACTTTATAATATCCAGGTCTGGACTCTGTGGAGGCCATTTCATTACTTTTTTCATGACTTTTCATGATTTCAGTATTTAATCAGTTCATTTTCTCTATAATATATGAAAAAAAAAAACAGTCAACTAACATACCCTGCATTATTAAGACATTTTTGCAGCATTTATACTTATTTATACATTCTTTTTTTTTTAGCCATTTGTTATGCAATATTGACATCCATGGCCTAAAACCTACTTTTCATCAGACCTACTAAACATTTTTAACATAATCAGTGGATTAAGCAAATTGAAGTACCATAATTATTTTGACCAGCCATGAAACTTATTCTCATTGTTTCATTATGATTTAGAATCTATAAAAACATTATGACAGCACATACTATATTTCTTGTTATTTTGCAAGGCGCTAGTATTCAGCTTAAAGTGTTATTTAAAGAGTTAACTTAGTGTAACTAGGCAAGTTAGGTTAATTAGGCAAGTTAATAGACAAAGGGGGTTTGTTCTGTAGCGAATTGAAAAAATATATAATTTCTTAAGGGACTAATAATATAGACCTAATTAGTTATATACAGTGAAAAAAATCCTTTCTTTGTTAAACATCACTATGATTTTTTGAAAAATAAAATATAAAATCCACAGGAGGGAATAAAATCTTTCTTCACTATCGATTTCTACTCATTTTTTATAACTTGGTGAGTGCTAATTTAACCTTTGCGTGCATCTCCCACAGAGATGTTCCACACAGTAAAAAGAGCACAATACTTTCAATGTGTTTTCATTTGCATACCCACAAACATTAACTGCTCTAGCCCTTTTCACTTTTTTTAGGACAGTAAGGGTTACAGCCATGTTCGATATCAGAGTAAAAATGAGGTTGCATCAGTTATTGGATCCCCAATCACTCAATTTTGTTGTTCCCTAATTAGGTGACAAGATCGGTGGCTGATTGCCCAGGGCAGATGACAGTGCTCTCCCAGCCTCTGCTGGTGTGTGGGGGGGACGGATTCACACACTCCAATTTCGACGGCTGCATCGAGTCTGCCCTGAAGGTCTTTGCGGTTCTGAAGTCTTCTCTTTGAAAGGAGGTTGGAAAAGTATGCCTTTATTTTTGGTTTTTATTATGAAGGATGGCACATTGATTTAGATTTAAGCCCCTCACTGCAGGAAGATGGATGTACTGCACAAAGCACAGTCTCGTCTGGGTGTGCAGACGCATTTTGTAACAAAAACCAATTATATAGGATTAAAGACAACCGAGCACTGTGCAGCTTCAGTTGTGACAGAGCCTGATGCCTCAAACTGGATTTAACAATGTCTTGAGCTATGGTGTTCTGGATGTGTAGCAGATATTTTGTGTAGTCTGAGATTAATAAAAAATTATTGATACATGCTTGAATGGGTCTGTGTTTGCCATGTGACTTGCTGTAATCCATTTAACATTTTTAATGAAGTAAACTGTTTTTAAATTTACAATAACAAATAAATAGTTTCTGTGCATTCACACCAAAGGCGGTGAGAGCATAAGAGGTCGCTCTGGCTGCCCTGGCAACAACACTGTCTGCCTTCAGCTCCAGCGGCGAGAGCATCAAAATTCGCTACATCGATCTCGTATTTAAAGGGGCCGTTGCAGCAGATCATATCAGTTACTTTCCAGAATCAAACATGCTTTCTAGCGTGAAAATGTTGTGCACTTTTTTTTTTATCAAATTCATTTAACAATGTAAGAACAAGTTGCATGTGGTGTTGCTTTGCGCCACTTAATTATCTAATGTGTCCATATGTCTGAAATATTTCGAAGCAGCAATACTGTTTTTTATTGTTGCATGAGATTAAAGAAGTAAAAGAATTTTTTAAAAATTATATATATATATATATATATATATATATATATATATATATATATATATATATATATATATAACATTAATTCACCAGTAACTTTTTAAATGTATGTTTCTGTAAGAAAACATTGTAAATAATTGGAAATCCGACGACTGCAATAATCAAACCCTGGGAACAACTGTGGTCATAACCAAAGTTCACAGGACAGTGTTCTCTGAACTCCTCTCAAGTGGTGGACTTCTACATTCTGATTTCTTGCCGACGAACCACGTCATAGCTCATTACCATAAAGTTGACTTTATTTCAAGTCCCACACTGGTGAAGACACACGGCACTGCTCCTTGCCGCTTATCGCCGCCGGCTCCCAATGAAAATGAATGACTTCTAGCTTCTTTGACGCTCTTCGGTGTACAGTTAAAATTATTCAGAAATTTGCTAATGACCTTCATATTCGATGCCGTTAACTAGAATGTGCTAGTATGTAAGAAATAAATACAGTGTACTTACTGTGTCCGTAATGTATTGCAGAACACTTCTGGTGCTCTTGAGGTGGGATACCGGTCAGGGTTAGGTTTGGTGGTATGGGTAGGTTTAGTGATGTGTCAGGGTGTAAGGAATGGTTAACAGTATAATTAAAAATGCAATCTGAACAGAAATTAATCACATATGTAAATACATACAGGTATTTAATCAATCATACAAATGATTTATCTAAGTGTAAGTGCAATTTTATTAACCCTTGTGCACTGTTCATATTCACTACCCTTTTGTTATGTTAGAGATGAAAACATCTACTGAAATAAACTGCTGTAAAAACCTCACGTCTGATCAAAACTACTAAATGTTTTAAAAGAATAATAATAAAAAAAGATTTTAACTCTTTAATTGCCAAGTTCACTAATAATGTCTCTGATTTGGTGAAAACAAACACAAAAATAGGTATTTTTAGTATAAAAAGTAATTGTGGACTGGATTTTTTTTTTACCTTTTACCACAGTCTTGTGAACATTGACTTTGATGCGTTGTTCTATTTTCATTTTGTCTCCTTAATCTACTGTTGGTGGCTGTTGACTTCTATTATAACCCCATTTGATGGTGCATAAGTACACAGTCCTTGTTTTTATTTACTCCATGTAATTCTGAGAGCTGAAATGTATATTTTGTTTTTCTCAGACACATCAAGGTAAGTGCGCAAAGGTCACTCTCACACACTCACAGACAAACACTTTAATTTGCAGGTATACTCTATATAAAATCCAGATACTAAGTTTTTTTTTTGCACAGGCCTGTCAAAAGGGTTTATGGTGCCAACTAATAATAGTAAAATTACATATTTGGTCTCTTCCCAACAGGGAAAACAACCAACAATTAAAAATGCATGATCATATGGTGTCATGGTTTGGTAATCAAAAATGTGGTTATAATGGAAGTCAATGGGGAAAAATAGCCACAAACAGTAAATTAGGAAGAATAAATTAAAATCGATCAAAAACAATGCAAGGTAATGTTAATTCACATGTCCAAGACTTTGATAAAAGGTTTTTAAAAATCCAGTCCACAATTACTTTTTATATTAAAAAAAACGTCCTTTTGTGTGTTTTTTTCTGCAAATCAGTAAATTAAATGATGAATTTGGCAACTAAAGAGTTAAAATTCTGTAATTTTCTAAGCAATTTATTAGGTTTAAATAGGACTGAGGTTGATTACAGATTTGTGCAAGAAAATGTAAAAAAATATATTTATCTGCACCATTTTCACACAAGTCCAAAAAAACATGTGATATAGGTAATTGGCTAAGCTAAATTGGCCATAGTGTATGTGTGTGAATGGATGTTTATGGATGTTTCTTAGTGATGGGTTGCAGCTGGAAGGGCATCTGCTACGTAAAACGTGCTGAATAAGTTGGCAGCTCATTCCGCTGTGGCGACCCCAGATTAATAAAAGGACTAAGCCGAAAACAAAATAAATGAATGAATGTGTCAAAATAAGATTTTCTGCTTGCTAGCTGAAACACAGAAGGAGTTGTGGCCAAATTAAGACTTAAAATCTCCCCAGAGTAAATGAAAACATCCCCAACAGCACAAAAGGGTTAGGGCCACTCAATATAGTTTTAGTAATTAATAATTTAACAAATTCTTATGACATATTCATTTTTTTTTAATTAAACAAATTTTACATTATTTTTGTATGTATTAAAATGCTTACATAAATATTCCTTTTTAACATTGCAGGGTCATCTTGAGTATTCCATTGAGAACAAAGTTATTTAAAACTTAGAAATGCTTATACAGAACACCTAAAATTTATAACTTGAAAGTGTATTTAAGGATAAGCGCGAAGAAATAAAGTAATAAAATACAGGAAAGATATAAAAGAAATTAGAGCTAAAAAAAATTGTTAGGAAAAACTGAAAAATCAAGGTGTAGCTATATAGTTCGAGTTAGAATTATTAAACTCCCTGAATTATTACTGCTCCTGTATATTTTTTCCCCAATTTCTGTTTAACGGAGTGCAGATTGTTAAACACATATCTAAACATTATAGTTTTAATAACTCATTTCTAATAAATGATTTATTTTATCTTTGCCATGATGACAGCAAATAATATTTGACTAGATATTTTTCAAGACATACATATTTTATACAGCTTAAAGTGACATTTAAAGGCTTAACTAGATTAATAATGTTAACTAGGCAGGTTAGGGTAATTAGGCAAGTTATTGTATAATGATGGTTTGTTCTGTAGACTATCAAAAACAAAATATAGCTTAAAGGGAATAATCATTTTAACTTTAAAATGTTTTTTTTTTTTTTTAACTGCCTTTATTCTAGTTGAAATAAAAACAAAGTAGACTTTCTCCAGAAGAAAAAAATATATATCACACACACTGTGAAATTTTCCTTGCTCTGTTAAACATCACTTGGGAAACATTTAAAAAAATTTAAAGGGGGGCTAATAATTCTGACTTTAACTAAAGTCTGCAGATATGAATTCGAGTTAGTAAATATAAGACTGAAATTGCCATTATATATTTTTTATTCTGAGGTAGAATTAAGTTTCATGATAATCTACAATATTGATGTTAATAAAGAAGCACCAAAAAAAGCATCAAGCACTCTTGTGCTAATGTGTGTTAGCTCTAAGCTCAGAAGAGCTCTGAGATAATTTGTGCAAATGTAACCCATCTTGCATTTGGTGGTTGAGTGCAAGAGTGAGGAGGTGGGGGGTAAAGTTGGCCCGGCTTGGCTGCCACCCCCTACTGCTCTGTGTGCAATAATTCAGCTTAGAGGAGCGAGAGCAGCCATTGACCGACTTGTGCAGCTTAGAGCTACTGCATCTGGGCCATAATCTGGGACAAAATGTTTGGCAGCCAGTCTGGAGAGAGTCGCTCGTAATCCAGTCGTAATTACGGCCGGGTGGGCCTGGAGCCTTATGCACAGCTGGGCCTGCCTCAATCTTTTTCTTGACCTCTTCCTTTATCAGTGACACCCCCACTCTAAACTCCTCTATTCACGACTAATATTACCCTTACCAGGATTATAGTACTTCCCTCTTGAGATGCACTGCACTATATCACCAATGCGGAGTCAACAAATCATCTGAAGATGGATGGCTGAGGGTCTTCACTTATCATGCAGCCCGTGACTTGTGTGTTTTTGTTTTCTGAAGGGGGTTGTGCAGTAGATGTAAAGTGCACTGCTAAGCCACACCACATTTAGCACATTTAGATTTATAGGTATTTATAGGTACCCCTCACATTCACTTTTCACAGTTCAACTCATCAGCAAACATGGAAAAGACCCACATCCAGTGAAACAATGTGTTGGACGAAGTGATGCTATGCTTCGCTTTGAGTGTGTCCCCCTAAAAGGAGACCTATTATTCCCCCTTTTGCAAGAAGTTAAATAAGGCCCAGATGTATATGAATACATTTTCATTTTAAAACACATACGTTTTCTACGGATACACCTTCCGTCCAAACTACCATGTAGTTTTCAAGCCACGAAAACAGAGCATTTTGCAAATGCCAAAGAGGCCACATTGCTGCTCTGTTTAATGTGGTTGGGGGAAAACAGAGACATCTGAAAACGGAGTAGTGGCTGCAGACAGGGGTGCCGCTGGCCGCCACGGGCCTATGGAAGGTAAATCCTGCCGATGTAATTTGGAGATGATCCCTAACACTGCGTGCATGTATGCCTGGCGATTATGAAACCTAAAACCAACCTTACCGAGCTGATTTAGCTGTCTTTCAAAGATTTAATACTAACAAGTTGTTAACGTCACAAGACCTAATACAGTACACTATACAACTTCATCACAAAGCCTACCGCACTTACGCTGCAGTTTCTCTGCCCACCGAGGAAGCCTGCGACTCCTGCTGCGGGACGGAAGTTTGACGTTTGGTTCTCCTGTGTCCCCTGTGCTTCACGTAAAAGCTGACTAACAGTTTTTGCCATTTTACCTGTTATACTGTATTTACACTAGTAACTCACACTGTCCCATCCATGATCCATAAAAACCGTGCTTCTGCCCTCGGGCTCTGTGTGTGAAAG